AGAGAGCGAGCGTCGCCTCTTCCCACTGCTCCCGTGAGCTGGCCGCAGCTGACCCTGTGGTAGAAATAGCGAGGTGCATGCCTTGGCTCCTGAGCTCCTCTGTCTGGAGACGTCCTTCTATTGCTCACGTCCTATTTGGCCAGCTGCTCCTTCTAAGCGGGGTCAGGTTTAACATAGAACCACAGAATCGTTATGGTTGGAAGAGACCTCAAAGATCATCAAGTCCAACCGTATACCCGGTGCCACCATGCCCGCTAAACCATGTCTCGAAGCACCACATCTAAACGTTTTTTGAACACCTCCAGGGACGATGACTCCACCACCTCCCTGGGGAGCCCGTTCCAATGCCTAACAACTCTAACAGTGACGAAGTTCTTCCTGATGTCCAACCTGAACCTCCCCTGGCGCCACTTGAGACCGTTTCCTCTTGTCCTATCGCTAATTACTGGGGAGAAGAGACCAGCCCCCACCTCACTACAACCTCCTTTCAGGTAGTTGTAGAGGGCGATCAGGTCTCCCCTCAGCCTCCTCTTCTCCAGACCAAACCCCCCCAGCTCCCTCAGCCTGACACAGGCCAGGATGCTGTTGGCCTTCCACTAAACTGTTGTCAGCACTCACCGCGTTTGATTCTGCGGTGCAGGGTAGAGCTCACGGCCCTGGCAAGGTGGGGTTGTGGTGGTTTTAACCCTGATTTGCAGCCTCTCCACCCGGGACTGTCTGGTGTGACCCAGGTAGCAGGTTCCCTACCAGAGACCCTGCCCAGGCTGTGGCACTACCAAGAGCCTCCACACGGCTGCGATGGGTGGTTTCTTCTGCAGCAGCCTTGGTACAATTGAAGAGTAACTTAACTGCAGGGCGGTTCTCTTTTTTGTCTCCTAAACTAGGAGAATCTCCCACTGTCTGGAAGTGGTGCCTTGAATGAGGGTAAGGATTTAATGCGAGTTACTGCCAGTGAAAGAACTCTGAGACGCAGCTGGCACCCAAGTTTGGATCTAATTACACATTGTCTTCAGGAGCTCTTGGAAATACTGCATAGCATCCTTGCTTCTCTTCTCTGTAACAGTCTTCAGAAGCTATTTTGTGGATTACAAGATGAGAAGGGATCATTAAAGGACGAGTTGCCATACTGAGCCAGGCCAAAGGGCTGTCCAGCCCAGAACTCATCTCCAGCAGCAGTCAATGGCAGGTCCTTTGGGAAGAGAATAGGAAAGTCTTGCCTTAACACCCTCGTACGGCAGCTGAGTGCGTTTGTCAGTGCTGGTCTTCTGGAGAGACTCAAAGTTGAGGCCCCGTGTGCTGGGAGATTTAGCTGCTTTGGGGGCAGGAGACCCCGACTTCCCCGTGTCAGGGGGTTGCTCTCTTCCATCAGAGCTCCAGCTGTCTCCAGGCCCTTCCACTTCCGCTCTGCAAACAAGTCCTTCTGCTTAAAAAACAACTTTTTGAGATTATCGTTGTATTTTTTGAATAAATTGTGCCTCTGGAAAAACAAAACCGGCAGAATTCCCTGCAGATTGCTTTCCTGTAGGACATACGGGAGCCACCCAAGTTCAAGAACAACTCCAACTCCTGGCCTGACCTCACAGCTATAGGAATGTAGTCACACTTTCATTTGCGTGTATTTTATTTTTTATCGTTTGGTATGGATTTTTTACTTTTGTTTAACTTTTTCCAGGACTTTGGATCTGGTCTTCAAAGGCATCCACAGCTGTCGCTGAAAAACTCTGGCAGACCTTAAAAAAAAATATTTTCACAGTTTCAGAGGTTCTTAAACTTTTCTTGCAGTTTCCCGTAGTTGATCAGCGGGATTATCTTGGGCTTCCCTCCTGCTCACTCCCCTCACACAGAAGTCCCTGAGCCTTTGAAAGCTTTGAGAGCTGGTTGACTTTCCAGGGCATTCCCATGTTGCTCCTGGCCCTAGTCCCACCGGTGGCAGCTGGTTCGGGCTGGCAGCTCCCACCGCCCCCGTTATTTCTTCTTATGCAATAGCAGCTCGGGGTGACGCAGCAAAGCCAGTTTTGGGGCATTGCAGACACTTCTTGGCTTCAAATTGTCTGAAGAAAGATCTGGTGAAGAAGGGGTGGCACAACCGGCCTGATAAGATCAGCAGCTCCTTGAGGCTCAAAGCTCTGCTAGCGGTCCAGCGAGGGGTCTAAATTCCCTTTGCATCAACTGGGTTCAGAAATGTTCTAACCTGGTCAGGGCCAAAGACAGTAAAATAAGTTACGTCTCTTAATTATGAGGTTTTGGTTCTTTACAAATGAAGTGGATTAAAAAAAACGATGCACCTTGTGTCTTGTTTATGAACAAAACTTCTGAGGAGAAGACATCCTGTATCTGGATACTAACTGCAGGGATTTTTACTCCCTTTTCCTGACTATAATGGTGCCACAGAGGCTTGCAACGGCTCAGGTGCTTGAGACAAGCAGAGGTCTGCCACCGGGCCGGAGCCAGGAGTGCCAGCTGCCACCACAACGCCACTGCCAGCATCCGCATGGTGGGCAGAGGGCACAGCTGGAGGGCACAGCTGGAGGGCACAGCTGGGCTTCAGGTCCTGCTGGTGGAGAAAAGCTAGAGGGGCATTATCAAAAGCAGATACAAGTCTGTTCTTGCATCTGCTTTGCTATCTCGAGCACTGCGTTGGCTGGGAAGGGGGTGGCTGCCATCCGAAGGGCACAAACCTCAGATTTACTTGAGGGTTCAAATTTGTGCCAATAACGTCAGGGCAGTCACTCTGCTCTGCGGCTTCAGTTGTGTTCACAAACGCATGCCCATAAATGTTTGTATCTGCAGAAGCAGCGTCCCAAGCCTGGAAAGGCAACTTCCTTCTGGTGCACAGGGGTTTTTTGCTGTTTTGCTTTGGTTTTTAAGAGTGGTGGCAGTGCCTTCTTTATTTAATGGCTTTATTTTTAGGGCTCTATAGGAGACACATCACCAGGGAACCAGAGTTCTTAATTACAAACATTTTAAAAGAAAATGGACCATCACACTGTGGGTGGGGGTACTCAGCATCACTGCTGCTGCTTGGGAGGCACAGACAGACAACTGCCTGCCTTCCTGCCTGCAGGCTTTAGGGTTGCCTCAGAGATGGGAGCTGCACAGATGAGGGCAATGTTTAGGATCCCAGATCTCTTTTTAAGTCAAATAACATCTTTTCAGCTACTAAAGGAGGAGAAGAAAGTGTTGGGGTTTTTGCCAAACACATTGATTGTGTTCTCCCAGGAGTGCCTGAAGAACAAGCACATTTTCAAATGTTTTTCCTCTTTCGAGCTGTTTTTCTCGGTCTCCTGTACATTCTTGACGCTCCTGCTTGTGGAAAGTGAGTCCAGAAAGCTGGCGCCTGAAAATTCCATTTGTCTGTGCCATGTATACACACCTCGGCCAGGGACTGAGCGCTCCCCCAAGACGCACTGATGCTGCCGCCTTCCCCAGCGCACCGGTGACAAGTCGGCGGCACGAGAGGTCTGCAGGGACATGGCCCCGGGCTCTTCCTTGGCTCATCCAGCACCAGTCGTGGAAAGCTGCATTGGAGGCTGCCGACAGCCTCCCCAGGAGAGGCTGCTGCTCTTTATCACACCAGGGTTTTAGGGAAGGGGCAGGCAGGTGGTACTGCCCCTTAACCCTGCCCATTTTAAGGGGGCAGATTAAATCCTGCTCTGCTCTCTCTGTCTCTCGTGCTCAGGCAAAGTCCACGGTCAGGAGCTGTCGGTCAGGCAAAATGTTATTAATGACCTCTCCCATCACAGGAGAGGCTGCTTGGTCTCATCCCACCCAAGGCCCAATACCAATTTGGTTGGTTTAAGAGCACAGGTGATTATAACCAAAGTACCCAGCGCTTGTCCGAGAGTTCGAGTACTTGGCAAAGCCAGGGTGCGACGCCGGGCAGCGGGAAGACAGAAGAGCTGGTTTTCCAGCATCAGCCAGAGGCTTAACACAGCCGTGTCCCAGCAGCACATCCCACCTTCTCGTGAGCCCCTTACCAACTCCACATGGCAATAGGAGGTGGAAGCAAGCAGCTCCCTCAAAGCACCCAGGGGAGACGGTTTTCTGTAGAGGGCAGGGACGGTAAATTGGTGTGGCAGAGCTGACACACATTTATAACCAGGATTAATTTAAGAGGCTGTTTTGTGCTATTGCCACACTGGTAGCTTGCGTGATGCTCCCCTGCATTTTAAGATTCGTGTCCCTCAGTGTTGCTGAACCCTGACTCCTCCAGGCAGCTCCCTGCCTGCCACCGACTCACTGCAGCCGCAACTTCATCTAGTCTTCCTCACACAGCATAACCGTAGGGTTAGGACAGTTTGTCTGCTAGAAATTGTTCCCTGCTTGCTGTGAAATTCCTGCAATTTGTTTTTTTGTTTGGCCAGCTTTGGCACAGTTGTCTTTCGGTTGTCTCCCAGTACCACCAGCAAGTGACAACATCTCATTCTCTTCCGAGCAGCTTTGCCACGTGCCCAGTCCGACCCCTCGCTCTGAGGCTCCTGGCCACCCAAGGGACATGCAAAGCCAGACAGACACGTGCAGCCTGGCACTGAGAGCCTGAGGTGGATATTCATAATTTTTTTCCCCAAGCATTTAAAACCAGCATTGTGTTCTGTAAGTTACACTTAAAGTCAGATAAAGTGGGGGAGACAAAAAGCAACTGACTCATACCTACAGGCTCTTGTCCCCGTTGGCATCCACGTGGCAACCAGCCATCACTGAGGCTCGGGTGTGCTGCCTGCCCGTAGCACCAGCACTGCCCGGGACCCCCTACCCGGCCCAAAGCCGGCAACCTGAGCACTGAGCCCACTCTACCAATGCAGCCAGCCTAGGAGCGATGCACCTTGCAAAGGTAGAGACCAGCTACGCTGTCCCGGTTGATCCCTTCCAGGAGTCGGGCCTTTTCCAGCTCAGCGGTAGGGCGTTAAATCATCCCGTTTGCTCCCTCAGTGCTCCTTTCTTCCTTCACTCTTTGGTTTTTTTGTTGACGGGATGGGAGAAGTTCAGCACTGGCAGTGGTAATGGGTCACACTGAAACCACAGCACGGTGAAATAATTTCAGCATGAGAGTTTAAGGTAGGTGCATTTTGTGTTCTTTTTAATGGGCTTTTTCCTGCGTAGCTCGTTCATCACCGGTCACTGAAAAGGCCAGGGAATGCTGCAGAGAAGAGCATCTGCATGCGGTGCTGCTCCTGCTGCCCCCGCAGCCCTCCGTACCCCCACGTAGCCTTGGCTGCTCTGGCACAGGTCGGCACGCTGGCAGACCGACAGCTGCCGGCAATGCCCTCGGTGCTGCCTCGCAGCCCTGCCGGAGACATGGGCCAGAGGGCAACCGCGGCCGGGGCAGCCCGGGGGAAAGCCTGCGAGCAGGGGAAGGGTCCTCCTGTCCTCCAGCTGACCACAAGTACCTCTCAGAATGCCTCCTCCAGACAACCTGCCCCCTATTTCACTCTTTCAAAGCCTGAGGACATCGCTGTCCTTGGAGAAGTTGCTAAAGTAAATTGGAGGCACTTTGCTACCTCTTTTAAGTGAAGGATAGCAGGGTTAAATTCCACTTTTGATATAATCCTCGAGCCCATCTTCAAGGGCAGCGTAGCCCCCGGGGTGGTGCCTGCATGCTGAATCACTCTGACCTCAAAGTAAATAAAGCTCTTTGAAAAAGGGCAAATGTTTTCTCAGCTGCTCTTCTTCCCTTCAAAAGAAGGGCTGATTGAAATTTTTATGTCTGCAGACATAAATATATGCAGTCAACAAATGCTTCTTCATAAGAAGCTATCTTAGCAAGATAATGGGTTTTTGGAAAGTACGTTGTGGAGCCATGGGACACTCCTAGACCACACTGCTCTCCTTACAGCCTTTCCTCCTCCTTTCTTTCAGTGCTTTCCATTTTATGAACTCCTAAATGGACTGATTTAAGTCACTGCAAATTAATCTTAGCATGTTGGCAGTTCAGGCTCCTGGTGTCCCCAAGATTTTGTTTCTGCTCAGCCCTGGAGCTGTGTTTGCCCCAGGAGGTAGCAAATATAAACAACCCTTTGGCATGAGACACAGCAATGACCCGAAGGGCCAATGCCCTGAAGTGGGTGCCAAGCCGCCTTCTCCCCGCAGCACCTGCCTGGGGACCTGCTATGGCCTTACCCATCCCCTGGCCGGTTGTGCGCTTCTCCTCCTCCAGCTCCAGTTCCAAAACTAGAGCTGAAGCCCAAAACCGAGGGGCCAACCTTCCTACCAGCTCTGATGGCAGGCTTAGAGCGTGTGCTAAGCTCAGGACTGAACACTATGAACCCCAACCCAGCTCTCCTCTACTGTGGACATTCTTAGAAAGTAGACATGAGCATTCACTCATGCAGATGCAACATTTTCCATCCTCAGAGGGCACGTTCACGCCGCCCTGAGTCCTTGTGCAGTACAGATAGACTTGCAGCCTGCCCGCATGGAGGGATGGGGACAACATCACCCGTCGAGCCCTCTCGATGGACGGCAGTGCTCTTCCCTCCCACCCCAGGGCTGAACCCGTTGCAGGCACAACCTCAGACTCCAGCCCACTCTTGCCAGATGCTCTTAGCACAACGCCTTACCCCGGCACAGCTTTGCAGAGAGCCCGCCTGGTTTTGAAGCCTGCCTTGAAATTGTCACCCGGTAGAGAGCATCTCCCTGAACCGGTCCCCTTGGAGGCCAGGCTGTCCCCTCCGGCTTGGATGCTGGAACGCCGCCTGCAGCAGCAATGTCACTGTGACTTTTACCTCCCCTTCCTTACACAGCCTTCACAGCACCAGCCACATAACTATTTCACAGCAGCTCACTGTAGCAAAAACTAACGTGCTTAACATAGAGACATCCCACTCAGCTACCCCACGCAGCTTCCTCACTCCATCCAGAAAACCTCAAGGCCGTGAACGCAATGTCATAATAACACAGGGCATTCTATTTTTTTTTTTCTTATTAAACTGCTTAAATCTATAAGCAAATCTGCTGTGCAATTTTTTGTTTTCCCACTGATGTGCTGCAGGGTTTGGGAAGGGTGCCTAGCTAGTTACAGACTCCGGTAGGTTTATTGCTTGTAATAATATACAGCCTCGGTTCAACTTTGTGAATCCATTGCCCTCCCTCAGAGATAAAATGTTATATTGAACGTGGAAGTATTTTTAGCAGTGCTCTTCTCCTTCTCCAGTTAAGCCATAAAACCCAAGGGCACAGATACTCAAAGCACCTTTTCCGAGCTTCAAGTAATCTACTATCAGCCACAAAGTCAAGGCTCAGAGCGTGCATCAGCCCGGTGAGTACCAACGGTGCGTGCCCAAACCTTGACAGCAGGTAGGAGAGGCTCTAAACACAACACTTTTGGGGTCATTTCCTCCCTTTCAAACGTCGGTCACGCTTTCTCCTTTTCCACTCTATACAAATGCGTGTTGTGAACCCTCATCAAGGGCAATGGGGCCATCGCTGTGGGTACGATGCTGTTCAGGGTAGCACCCAACTCTGCTGTAGCACCAGGTGTTTTGGAAAGGGTTGCTTTCTCCAGGAGAGAAAACAACCTGCTGGGTCAGATGGCCAAGGGGGTCAGGCACCTTTCCCCAGGAGCTCTGGCAGCAAACCTACTCTTCAAGCGGTGAGAGGGAAAGTCCGACAGCACAGGCATGGGGTTTTGCTGGCAGAAGTTTGCCAGGGTTAAAAAGGGCAGTCTGGCCATCTCCTGGCTGAGGAACTGATAGCAAAGTATGTTCTAGCAGCTTAACGGTGATTTAATTTTTCTTTTTAAGTGCCAAGGAGATCAAAATAAAAGGCTATTTTGGGGTGGGTTGGTTTTTTTTTTTAATCCCCTTCTTAGATCACCAGAAAATCCAGGCTTAGCACTGGTGGGAAACGGGAACAAGCTGTCCTCGTGGCAGCTACTGCGCAACCCCCAACTCACACCTCCACATTAGGAGTAAAAAGGTGACGCCGAGAGGTTTTCGGGTTCTACTTTCGGGTAGCTTTACGTTACCTGGACACTGTCAGAAGAGCATTGGGAGAATGGCTCTGCATTGCAGGGGTGGGAACTCCAGCTCCTGCCTAATCAAAGTCAGGCAAGACACTGCGAGGGAGTACCTTGTGCGGCGGGACAGAGAGAGCTATTGCAGGGCCTGACCCTTCCAAGTGGCCAGACCTCTCAGTTCCCGTCAGATTAGTGACAATGAAGGTCCTCAGTACTGCCCATAGTCCTCCAAAGTCCAAACCAGTTGCCCTTCAGTTGACTGAAAGGGACTCAAGATCAAGCCCAGCACGAGTCAGGTTCTGGCAGGGGATGGGGGTGTTCTGGAGGTAGAAAACACAGCTTATCTTGTTTAAACGCGGAGTTTAACAAAAGTATGACTGAAGGTCATGAGATAGGGCCAGAAGTGGAAATTTTAAACAACAGGGGGTTGATCTCTTCAGTGCTTTTTTTCTGAGCTTAGCTTCACAATTCAGTGTTTGACCTAAGTAGAGATGTATCGTCAAGTCCTCCTGCAGTGATGGAGAAGACAAGCTCTAGTGCTGTCTGCTGGCCTATGGGCAGAGAAAAGAAATGAAGTTTCTTCTGAGCTAAAGCTCTGAAATATGCCTGTAGGGAAGCTGGAAATTCCCTTCCCAACACTTTTTTTTTTCCTTCTTCTGTGAGAGGGGAAGTTTTTTTTTCCATCTGACCTTGCCTGGACATGGACTGCGTGTCGTGTGATTGACCCAGGAGCACTCTATTTCCCACAGACTCTGCTTGAACGTGCAATGCACTTCCAGGTCCTGGGTGACGGTGTAAAGTTCAACCAAGGATCACTCTGTTCAGCTGTGCTAGAGGTTCATAATCCCAGTGGGTCAAAATGTTTAGAGTTAAAGAGGTTACAGGCTTTTCTGAGGGAGTATTTAAACCATCTGTCAAACCACTTGCATAGAAGAAATTTACAGCCTCTGCCAGCAGTACATTAAATTACCGTTTTCTTGTCTCTAATTTAGTGGCATGCATTGTTTTCATGTTGCCCTAAGACAATAATTAATCTGTGCCAAATTTAAGCCTTAAAAATTATAAATACTAGATTTAAAAACCCAACAACAGTAAAGAAATTCAAGGAGACACACGTTGATGAGAGCCACATCATGAGGGCTCCTGGCAAAGCCGTCAGAATGCCTTAGGGGTCTGATCTTTTCAGAAAGCTAAGAGACTTGAAACCTGCTTCATATTCAGTTTAATTGTGCACAAAAAAACCCACTTGCAAACTTCGCACATTAAAAGGAGAATAAATAAAAAAATAATAGGTAGAGATTTTTCTCAGGGTCTAAACAAGAAGTTTGAAAATGCGGAAGCTTGGTTCCGCAATTTTCCAGGAAACCTCAATGTCACTCCCTGACGCTATTGTTCCGTGCTTCAGTATATAATACAGATGCAAGTCTGATAAATTAAGGGCTTCACAGATTGTTTTCTTTCCATTCACAGGAGAAAGAGCAGTGCAGGAACACGGGTGACATCTGCTGCGAGAGCGAGACCACTTCAGTTTCTCTTGTTGCTCTGAAGAAGGTGAACCTACTGCCAATGTTTGACAAGGGAGAGGTATAAGTAAGGCTGTGGTTGAAGCAATGTCACGTCTAGGACACGATAAGCATTGCTCAAATGCTCGTCATTGAAAATCCCAAGCCAAGATGGCTTTTCTGCTCCCTACCTTTTTGATAAAGCAAGTATTTCTGTTGACTGAGTGTAGATCTATTACAAAGAAACCAAGAATGAAGACGGTGCCGGGGGTACGTGTGTGGGATAATCCTTACCTGAGCAAGTTCTTCTGCGAAAAAGGAGTGCTGAAGCTCAGCTTCCTCCAGGCTCAGCTCTCTGACCCTGACATTCCCCACAGCAATAACAGGTCACTCTCATCTGCAAAATACTCCACATCCACTAAAATACCTTAGATGCCATTTCCTCATTTTGCTGCCCTTCAGCAAAAGAGGATGAAATTGGGCGGTGGACCGAAAGGTGGTTGGGGACAGGGAGCACACCCCACCACCCCTCCCCGAGACAGTTTGTGCGCAGGTAAGTCTCACTTAGAACACTCAATGTGACCAAAACAGCTTAAAAAAAGAAAAAAAATGAAGACAACTTTCACTACAAGCAATTTTCTCAAGCAGATAATTGGAAACACTGAGGAAAAAAAACCACAAGATGGCTAGTTTGGGGGGTTTCAGTTTTTGATGCCGGAACAGGAAAAACAGGCAGGCTTTCACTACGAAGAAGCATAATAGTACTAAGCTTGGTACTTGCATTCTTGGTTTTCTTTAACAGCTAAATACGTTAGACACACTCCTAGGACCTTCACCAATCATACAAAAGGAAAATGTTTATTGGGGTGATAAACAACCAACCCTGATGTCTCCCATCAAATAGGACTGGCCAAAAGAGAAGAGGGAAAAGAAAAATCACAGAGCCACAGAGCTGTTGAGATTGTAAAGGACTTCTGGAAGTTCTCTGAAACACCTAAATATTACAACTAAAACTGAACACGACATAAATGCTCGGCTGAATGAGACTCAAGACTGTTGCTTCCCAAATGCACAGCGGTGTGCACAATTCTGTCTGCTGTTTATTTTGGTAGCAAGACTGGTGCCGATGCGGTTATTGCAGGAGGAGTGAGAAGGGGAAAAGTATCATCCCGCCTTAACACTAAGTGCAAGACCAGCAGCACACTGTTCAGCTCCAGTAAGCGTGTTGTAGGGACTAGCAAATGCAAGAAGAAAGACAAAAGCCGGAGAAGTTTGAAACTCGTTCGTGGGTAGCTCCACCACCTCTCCATTATCAGCAGTTTCCAGACTGAGTCTCTGCCTGCCTCTGTAACCCCCTTCCCACCCACGCGCATTCCTTTCCAGCAATGCTGCTTTATTTAGCTTATCATTATCTTTTTCTTAAATCCACTTAATTCATGCATTTAACTCCTTATGTTCCTTTATCGTCCCTCTGATATCACTTGTTTACTGAAAAAGCAGTCAGAGCCTTAAGTATTACATTTCAAAACAGCATGGAAATTGAGAAAGGTCCTGACAGTCCCAGTGTTCAACTGTGCTAGCTCCATTAAGGCTCATACACTTCATAAAACACTAGGCATGATAAGGCAAGCTGGACTTTATGAGCTGCGAAACTGTCCAAGTCAAAGTCTGCCCACAACCATGGTATTTCCAGAAATCCAGAGTCTACTACTTCATAAGCTCCTTTAAGACAACAAAGCTGATCCCCCCTGCAATGAACTATACTGCTTTTACTGCATCTCCTGCAGATCAGAGGGGATCCTCTCTGTGATGCTCAAAGCACGATTCGTTTAGTTCACCACATACACTATACCTGGTCTAAGTTTCGGCAGCTAGATCTATCAGGAATCTAATGGAGAAAATCCCAAGTGGGAGATGTGCCAGCCAAACCCCTAATGCCGATGTAATTATGTCAGGAAGAAAAAAAATATATATATTCCTTTGGCAATTTGGTTTTATTTGTGGAACTGCTGCAAGCTTTGCACAACACAAAAATGAGCCAACCTCAGGGCACCATCAGCTGCATCCACACTGGGAACTTTGTCAGTCTCACCTTCCCCCCAACTTTAACAGCGTAGCCAAAGGCTGCCTAGACACTGTCAGAGGCAGCACACAGCTTCAATACCGAACGGGAGGCTTTCTCTGTCTTGTTGATGGAATGGGGACAGGTGGCGGTCGTCTTTTAAGGGTCTCACTCCACAGTTACTTTACTACTGAAAAAAATGTTAGTAGACTGAGCTGGTAAAGCACCCTTCCCTGTGGGGTGTAGTACTACAGGTAAAGCTGAGCCCAGTACACATAAGTCAAGAGCAGTAGCGCAAAAGGCTAGCCCAGGCAAAAGCAGGACCGTGCAAGGGTATAACCACCTACACACCCTCTGCCAGTGGTTCTGTCGGTCAGAGCAGCACTACTAATGGTTAGCGAAAAGCCTGTCGCACAGATATAACCAAAAAGTAAAAGCTTTGCTTTGTGCTCAAACCCATTTGTAACTTCTGGACAGAAACAGTAAAGTCCTTCTAAATAGCGAGTATGGGAGGGAACCGAGGGGAAAAAACCAAACTAAACCTCAACAGCAAAAACTCCTATAATGCCACATGTTCTTAATCCAGAACAGTGTTTTTCTGCAACACGACGAAACAAGACACCAAGCAGGGTGTCTCCCGTGAGGTTTTGGCAGCGAAGAAGCTCCACAGTGTTCCCCTGCCAACAGCAGCGTGGCGCCGCTTCTGTCGGTGAAAACAGCACGTTTCTGACATGGTAACAACGTGAGTTAAGTTCCTAGCATGAACCAGGCGAGTTGTAGTTTTAACACGTTAACATGTTCTAGCAGGGGAAAAGCTGAAGTATTTTTAGCATGGCCCGAGTGTTTGTCTCTGTACTGTTCTGGCCTTTTTTGGAATTTTTAACTCTGGAAACAAATACAATACCCTTTGCAATAGTGAAACACCACCTATTTTCTTTTATTGTTTGCCACAAAGAAGACATGAAAGGAGAAACATAAATCAGCTACTTTTGACACAGTTTTCCCCCTTCACAACACCAGACAGTTCACTTAATGTTTCCCTAATTCCTGCCCATGCCCCCCAGTCTTTCCTACTTACATGCTTAGCTCTGACAAAATATCAGTGGAGAAAACATTTTTCTTTATTATGCAATTCAGTCCCGAGTTGTTGCTTGGAGGCGTTGCCCCTTGCTCTGCTGTTTGAAACGGCATGTGAGCGCAGCAAGAGGGATCAACAAAATACACTTGCAAACTGCATCCCATGCAACTGCCCTCTAGTCTTGCCCCTCACACAGCCACTCAGTCCGATTTCCAAGATATGTCAGGGAGAAGCATCTGACAACAGTAAGTTTGGTTTTATCGTGTTAAAAACCCACGGCTGCATTATCCCCTCCACCGTGCTGCGCTGAGGGCAGAGCCCAGCAAGTCAGAGTTAGGTATAAAGGAGGAGTTGGATTTTAAGCACAAATGTAACAACAAGAATTGATGCAAGGCGAGCCTGAGGACTGAAAGGGGAAACACGTGGAGTGATGGAGGGACTCTCATCCTCTCCTGTTTTCTATCCCATTTCAACTAATATCCCCTTCCTCCTCCCCTCCGCCTGGCACTAGAATAAGCATGCAACACAGCCGTAAGGAGCAGATGTCTGACTGTCCACATTGCACACAGCTGCAATCAGCGTGCCCAGGGACTGGCAATGTCCAGGCCACACAAACAAGTCCCCCAGGAAAACAAGACTCTTGAAAGGATTAATGGTAAGAGAGGCTCCTGTGGCTGCAAAAAGGAGACTGTGGTTGATCATCTGCTCCCAGCTGAAGGGAGAGGAGAACAAGCCTTTTGTTTGTCCTGGTTCTTCTCTTCCTCCTCTTCAGAGATTGCCATTACCACTGCTTCTGGAGCCGGGGAGGACACGGGGTTGGGGGGCTGCAACTGGGATTCATCTCTCAGGCAGCAGGACGAAGAAGATAGCCTTGAGGAAGTGACCAAAGCTGCAAACAGCGGCCACGAGCCAGTGGGAGCGAAGGCTGGGGTCGGTATTCACCACGCATTTTGTGATGTCTGCCTAATGAGGAGGGAACAGAGATCATCAGAGAGAGATGCTCAGAACCACATCAGCCGCCGCTGCAGACTCTCCCGGCCCCACAACCCACGGCACCGCACCGCCACTGCCACAGCACCCACAGAGGTTTGCTCGGACACTTCTACGCATTGCAAGTGATTAGATCAGGCTCAAGAGCTCTGCGAAATACCCTTTCTTCATTCTGCATCAACAAGGCGAAATATCCCCCTTTTCAGCCACCCCTGGGGAAAGAAATGCTAAAGGAAGGTTGTCAAGCATTTTCCATTTTGAACAGCTAAATAAAAGTAACTCTCTTCCTCTTTTCAAAAGGGCTAGGAAGCCTTGGCAATATGAGCATTCTCATCCTTTTCTGTAAAACAAGATGCTTCCCAGAGGTTGTCCTGTTTAATATCAGCTCAAGTTGCTTGCACTTTTTCTCTTGCCTTAATGTTTTACTTGGAACTCATTCAAGCAAGCCAACCCCCAATTTAAATCTAAAGCAATGCAAACTTTGTTTGTGGAAATATGTATGCTGGCAGAGATGCCTCCCAGACACGTGGGCCAGATTTGAAGATCACTTGGGCAGCTGGTTTCAAGTATTAACAGGAATAGAAGCTGCCCTGCAATGAATAAAAAATAACAATGATCCAGCAAATTCATGAAGACGGGATCTCAGCTGGTATTGGGAGGAAAAGGTGGAAAATATCTGGAGGGTAAAGCAAACAGGACAGAGGTAGAGAGAAGATTGCATCTTCTGGTGCGGGAGACAAATGAAAGTTCTGCCAGCAATATAATTGAGTTTGTGGTTAAACTTCAGCCTAGCACAAGGAGACATGGCCTGTAGTCCTGTAACAGAGGGTGCACTGTTAGCACATCAACTTGATGCTGTTTTCAGAAACGGCTTTTGCGTGGAAAATGCGAACAAGAATCAGGTCACAAGGAGGGCAAATATTCATCAGCCCCCAAAGCTTTTTCTTCACAAGTTTAGCTCAGCAGTCTTCCAAGTTTGCCTTCTGGCACAAGTCTCCCATTGACCAAGCAGAGGGAAATCAGACTCTCAACCCTGCGATGTTCCTCCCATAAAACGGGACACGAGAGCTGCTGAATACTCTAATAATCTTTTCCAGTATTTCCACCTGTGTTCAAGACATGGGTGAGCCTCGCCTGACCAACCTTGGGAATAATTAGAAGAAAACAAAAAGAGGGACTGAAGGGACAAATCCCCGTGTCTGGTTAGTGAGTACAGCCACACTAAGAGACTCCACCATCATCTACAGACCAAAGATCTGTTGACGGCAGCCTCAACAGCCTCCCACGCAGTTCCAGCAGTTCCTCCTTCACAAGGAAGTCTGAAAGGCTGGCACGCCGAATCAACCCACACCACTGTTCTCCAGGGAGCATTAGGAGATGCTGAGCCCAAGAAGAACTGACAAGTAGAGATTGCAGGAGGAATGAATACAGGCATGCAAGGATGGGAAGAAACAGGAGGACAGGAGGAAGCTGAATCAGGCCACGGGGTGCTCCTGAGGCTGAACACCAAGGTGTGGAAATGCTGTTGCCTATAGCTACAAAGGCACAGGCAAACGTAGCAAGCAGCCAAGATAGCACATAACAGAATATGCTGCAATGTAGTACTGGTGGTTACACGTACTTTATCTGTATTGTGGAGGAAAGTAAAATGGGTCTGCCTAAATGCTTTCAGCAATGGTTTAGCAAACTCACCATATTCGCGTTTGAAAAAAGTCTGAACTGATTCAGCCTGCCCCATTTTAGGGACCAGCACGGTGCCATATTTAAAACACAGTTGTGTCAAGCTGTCTCTTTAGTCAAGAGAAGTCATGACGTACGGGCGCCTGTCTGAACATGTATTCAGATGTTAGGGTAGCTGATCAATAAGAAACCTAAGCTCTGAAGGGCTTTAGTGCCTCATGTGAACCAGTACAAGGCCCAAATATCCACATGGGGTTGAATATAGCTGCAGAGGCTTAACTTCCAGGTGAGAAGGTGTGAACTCATTAAAGCTGTGCTATGCCCTACCAAAGGCAATGACCTCGCTGTGGCTAAGCAAGAGGAGCTGCAGTCAGAAGCACTTACAAATTTGCATGGTGCTTGCTTAGATAAACAGAATTGCTCAGCTGTTTAACAACTGCCTTAGCTATTGTTATCCAAATAAAGCATACCAGATAAGACAATGGAATTGAAAATTTCAAAGCTACTTAATAAAACAAGACTTTGAGTTTTGTGAGGCACTGATAAACTGTTGCAATGGCAGTTTGATCTTGGCCTGTTAATTATTCAAACAAGTTCAAGTTGCATGCTCTTTGTATGTATGCAACAGCTGCACGCAACAGCTGCTGAAAAAAAATAGTAATCTTTCTATTCTACTGTAAAGCCACTACTGAGGCTGCAAACCCTCCCCAGGGAGAGATGATGCCTCTAAGACATGTCTTGCTTCTCCTAAGAGGGTTGGGTTGGGTGTTGGGGGGTAGGGTCTTGGGGGTAGAGTCTTTCTCCAGCCTGATGGAAGCAGTATGGGAAACTACTGCTGAGTGGAGACTTTCAAATGCCTTTCCAAGATCTCCACAGTGGCTTTTCTGAAACAGCTCAGAGCACGGTGGTTCCTCTTGGCAGCCTCAACGTGAGCCGATGCGTAAGAGACGGAGGCCATGTGCCCAGGGGAAACAAGGACTCTGTGCCAAGACAAACCAACAACCAGCTAGGTCAAGCAGCAGATGAAAGGGTCCCCACAACAGAGCTGTTTCGTCTGGCCCATTTGTGAACAAGGCTGGGAAATTTCACGCTGCAGTGCCTAAATCAAGAGGAAGAACATTCAGGGAAGCACAGCACAAGATGGCAAGAGGATTAGCAGCCTTTTGCCAGACTGAAGGAACTATTCATTTCTAGAGGGAAAATATCTCCTTGTTGCAGGCCAAAATTGCTGATAAGGGTACTTGTGACAGGCCGTAATCAGCACAACCCAGCAGCTTTTACAGTTGTTTTGTTTGATTGGGGGCAGTGAGATTGGCTTCTCTTTCTTAGGGCCAGATCCCAAAAGCAAGCAGCATAGGTTCAGCAACTCCAACAGAAATGTGCTGGCCATTCAAAGAGGGATGATCGACAGAAGGAGCTAGCAGTGGACAGGACTTATCTCCTCAGCTGCAAAGAACCACTTCTGGTCCAGGGATGGGTTTTGGGTCTTGTTTGCTATGCAACAAGCTTTCCAAAAATGTCCATTTGGAACTATCGAAAACACCCCGTTTTGAACTCTAATAATGTAATAGAAAAATTAAAACAACATGGTAACTTATCAGAAGATGCATGTGCATGTCTTACCAAAACAAAGAAAAAAAATTATTTGGAAACCAGGAGGAGACATGTTCCTATGCAACATTTCAATTTTAATGAAAATGGATTTTTTCCAAAGAAAAAATTGTTTCAGGGAATACATTTCAACCAGCTCTACAGGTACGCACTTAAAGTAAGCCTCAAATGATACTGAGGCATGGATTTCACAGGTAGGACTGGTGCTACTTAATCAGTTGCTTTCCCAGGATATCCTCTTCACCTACCTCGGCACAATTATTTGTGTGGACGCAAAATGACACTGATCAGGGCATTCAAATCAAAGGTTACTTTTCAGTCCAACCAGACAGTTCCCTGACTCATTTGGTCTCAAAGTCACACGGTTTTAGAGAGGGCAGGGATGATTTAAGGTGGCAATGACTCTTAGTAAATGCAAGGAATCCAAAAATCAGAACAACGCTGCTTTTCTGGTTGCCCTTTGTCAAAAAAGTGCCTTCACTCCTGGAGAAACTAGGTGACTGAATCAGCTACAGGCACACATGGGAAGTCTCAGCACAGAGGAGCAATGCTTGGTTTGGAAAAAGACATCCACCTCTCTCTGAGTCTGTGCAGGGTGGGGAGCCTGACCATTTTCCCTGACGGCTCAGGAATAAATACCACCTCTTGGAAAGAAGAGAACTTGCTGCTGTGGCTCACTCTGGAAAGAGTCCCTGCCTTGGGAACAAGATGTCCCATGAGCTCAGTGGTGTCGTATGGCAATATTTAGCTCCAGGCAGCATCTACCAGGCAGTACACCAAAGTGCTTTTGGCTGTATCGCTCCAAGGAGTGTCCACATCCCTGCCAGAAAGGCACAAAGACCCTGGTACATAGGTACATCAGCCAGCTGCCAACCACTAACACAGCCAGCCAATCATCTCAGTCTCCTGGGGAGGTCACTAGAAAGGTACCCAGCTATTCCACAGCACCAAAGGAAAGCTCTTACTCTGAACAATCCTCCACAGGAACGTTGTACTTCCCGTTGGGTATAGAGAGAACCAAAGAAAGCAGATGCTTAAAGCCATATGATACGGTGCCACACTCCAACGCAGAGCAGCACCATGCCTTACCCACAGGCTCAGAGCAGGCCAGTGAGAGAGGCACGAGCCCTCTTACTGTCGATGGGCGTTATGAGTGCCCTTCAAAGCACAAGTGTGCTACAATTTGAGCTACATCAGAAGTTGTTATTCATGGAGCATCATCAGGGTCAGGTCAGGGAATGGCACAAACTACCAGGTTTTAATATTCCTCTAAAATTTCTTACAGTGGCAAGTCATGTTCGTATACTAAGCTTTGACTTGGGGAACTGTGGGGCAGGTGACAGGAGAATTAAGTTGGCAGGCCTCATTTTTCTTCAGTTTCTAGAAAAGAGTTGCCCAAGAGAAGGACCCCTATTCACAGTCTCCCACCGTGACGGGCTGGCAGCTCCAGAGATGTTCAGGTCAGGAACAGAAGAGGCCCTGGCGCGTCAGGATTGAATTGCACAGTTACGCAGGAAAGCTGAGGACCAGAAGAGCTGATGTTGTCAAAGACAGGATCACGAGGCAGTAACACAGCCATGTGGAGTCTAGCACAGGTGTAAGTAGGACAGCGGTAGCCACAGGGCTGTGGAAGAGAATCTCATTCAATGTGTTCCTACATCAAGCTGCAGTGGGGCCACTCTCACTTCCATTAACCGGGATATTTTCTGCTCTGCATGCGTGGAAGCAAGCTTGATCAGACAGGACTTCTTACCCAGCCTCCTCTCCTTTTCAGCCACGTCACCAGGGTCTTGCGGACAAACTCTCCCAGGCAGTCTACGATGGTGTGAACCATGGCTGGCTGTGCATGCCGCACACAGTCCACCGCCAGCCCTGCTGCCACAGCATAGAGAGACACCACCTTGCCCCACGTTATGCCTATGAAAAGGAGAAAGGTCATTCAGATTCACACACAGATACATAGCTCAGTCTTGAATAATCAAAGGAAACAGCTCTCCTTCATTACACACACTCATGCTGCACGCTTGCAGCTCCAAGTTCAGGTGCAGCCACAGTCCTGCATGCTGTCCGCCATGGGGGAAAAGAAATACTAGGGGACCAGGAATGGGGAAAATGCCACCTGGAGAAGCAGGATTAAATTATCTGACCTGGACATGGTTTGACCTCGTCTCAGCACTGGCTGCACAGCTTTGGAGAAAGGAGCCCAAAGGCATCATGAGAATAGAGAAGGTGTGCACCACCACAGTTTATATTGTCGTTAACTTTCCGCCATGCACATGCTGCACAGAAGGCGATTGAATTTGAAGAGTTCGATCAACCTGGGGTTTTTGTCACCAGCACAACTCTTAAACATCCTTTAAACAAAGCATTCCTGGTTTATTTTTTTTTAGATCAGAAGAGGCTGTTCCAATGTAACATGCAAAGCACACACAAGATAAGCATCTTCAGTCAGTTCTACCATGGCACAAGAGCAAAAAAGGGAGGCAAAGCTACAGTGCCAAAAGGGTTGGTGTCTTCCTTGATGTAAGGAGTACACCTCAGTCTCCACCTGAAAACCAGGTAGCTTCAAGAATTTGGCCACTCTTACAATACTTAACTTTGCATATCCTATCCCACTGAAGGCAGCGCAGGGACAGAGTGTCAGTCAGTTATCTAATCTCCCAGAAAACAGCCTTCCTGCTAGGCCGACCTGCCAGCAGCAAATGCTCCATGGAATTTGTCCCAGGAGCAGTCATCTTCCTGTTAGTGCTAGTGATAAGCGCTGCAGCTCGGTTCTGGGTACCAGCCAGCCTCCCTGGATCTCCCCCACACTTTACCAACATCACCGGGTATAAATCCTCCATGCTTAAACATTGCAGCCAGCAGTCCATCATCAGGCTGTTATCAGGACCAGTGACCTGGAAATACAACCCTTCTGCACCCACGCAGAAGAACTACCACAGCACAATGGCACATGGATTTCCTTTGGATCCGCTAGGAAGTCAAATTCCCCCCCTTGCTTTATTATCTGGAATAGCAGTATTTGACAAGCATACTGTGAAGTAATTTTACAGTGTTAGATCTCTATGGAATCTGTCCAAGGTCTCTCCCAAACGTAGCCAGAAGCCAGGTGAAGTTTCAGTATTTAAAAACCACACAAAACTGTAAAAAAAAAAGAAAAGAGGTAAGAGGAAGGAAAGATTAGTTCAGTCACTAGATCTAAGGACCAGAAGGGGTTAAACACACAATCAGAAAACTGGATGTGCTCAGCAATCTATCAGCTAAGAAAGCAAACCCTTAAATACAATTTAAATGAAGAGTTTCCCTCTTTCCTTCATCACACTGCCAGATCCCCAAGCACCCTGACCCATCTCTTTGGGATGGAGCTCGAGATTCCTCACACCTGTTCACACCGCAGCAGAGCTCCCCACATTCCTTTATGAAACGTGCAGGTTTCAGATCATTTTCACAATCCTTCCACTTAGTGCCTCAAAAGGGACAGTCACACTAACGCTTTTAGGAATTGCCCTTTTTTTGTTTTTAAATAAAAAAAAAAGTACTAAACTTTAGAGAAACTGTTCAAATGTCAGCCACAGGACTGATTTGTTAGACTGAAGAACATCCATTCAGTGTTACAAAAAAAGCCATTTTTCACTCATGACTGACCTAAGATCAAAATCTACAGATGATCCTTTTGTGAGGCTCTGTAGCAACAGTAACAGCAGTAGCTCAGAGCCTCCTGTGATACTCTGTCCATCACCAGCACTATTTCCAAGAGCAGAGGAAGTTCTTAATATAGCTAAATTGGCTGTTATTCTTATTCTGATTTTATTTTCTGAGTAGGGCCTGCAGCGTCCCTTCCCAGAGCTGTCACTCAGGAAGTGTGCCTGTGTGGTACTCACACTATTTATCTATCTTTCCCACATTGCATGTCACCATGACAGCCAGCAGAACGAGCCAGGAAGAGGCTATGAAACCACATGAGAAAATACTAGACAGACTTCTCCTGGCACGAAAGAGGTTGTCCTGTTGCAGGACCTCTCCACCCAACGAAGGAGGCTTTAAGGGGTTAACCTCTTGCTGACCACAATCTCCTGGACCAGAACCTCACCTGGCTTATACTCAGCTTTAGCGTAAGTCAGTTTTTACAGTTCTCTATCCCTGCAGAGATGTGGCTCCTTGCATCTTGAGTTACATGAACCGAAGTTACCCAAAATTCCAGGGAAGAGTTCACTGGCTTCTTCCCAAGCTTTTACTGATGATGCTCTTTCTTAAACATCTGAAACAAGTCCATTAGCTTTGAGATATTTACATGGCAGTGACTAAGGGGGCTGAGGTTACCCTGGTAGAGAAAGGCAGCTGCAGCCTTGATTAACTTTGTTTTAAACCCACGTTTCTCTTTCTAACAGAAGAAAAGGGTATCCACGACCTGGGGAAGATAAAGGCTCAACAGATCCATGATTTCCCTGATACACAGGAAAGCAGTTTGCTCTACAGAGATGTCAGTCCAGGGGATCTCCTCCCAGGGAGGATGAAGAGAAAGCCCTTCAGCTCTGGCTTCCCTGCCAAGGTTGCTACATAGCGGTGCTTGCTGCAGGACTTGCACAAGGTGAACACTTCCCCAGCACATGGACAGAGACCCTCTCCCTTTCTCACAGACAGCAAAAAGAAGGCAAGCTGTTGGCTGATACTTATCGTGGTGATGGATGTGAAGGGCTCAGCGGTCACTTCCCATTATCCTCCTCTTTACAGAGCATGCCTGTAAGGGTCAAACCAATCTTTCAGTCTGCTTTTCCTGTTACTGGCAGAGCTGGGCCATGCAGGTGGGAGAGAAGGAAATCCCTTCCCAGTTTCTCTGCATGGAAATTTCTGTTTGCCACTGCTGGAGGCAGAAGATGCATACAGCTGGCTGGGCTCCTCACCGGAGACAGCAGGGCACAGCTTACACTTTTGTTCGCAGAAGACATTGCACGGGAGCCCTGAAGCAAAGGAAGAGCAGACACCTCTAACAGCTGCTCTAGACCAAAGCTGGACCATGCCTGTGGTGGTCCCTCTGCCCCAGGAGGGCTCCAGCAGCCGCCCAGCCCCAGGCCGGGCAGGACAGAGGAACCACCCACAGCAGCCCCTACCTGCACTTTTCTGGGACACCAGTTCCATTAACTTTTCTCTCTCAAGGACTCCCTTGGCAAGGGTGGAGGAGCAGAATCTACTGAAAGGGCAGTGCCTCTGCCCCCTGTGATGTTCAGGCCAGGGTCAGGGTGACGCTAGCTTGATGCATCCCTCGACATAAGCTGGAATTGCATCTGGCCAGTGCACGTGAGCAGAGAAGACACATTGTCTTGCTCCAAATTCCTCAAAAGGTCTAGTTGTCATCCACGTTGGGTGAAATAGGCGTTCATCACCAAGTGAGACAATCTATTCACAGCTTCCCACTGTGTGGACTAGCATGCACAGGAGCAAACAACAAGAGGGAATGGAAAACTGGTCCAGAAAGGAGTGATCAAAACATAGAAAGCTCTGAAAATTCTGCTTGCAGAGATGGAACGAAAGGACATGGAAAAAGTCAAAAGCTGCTTAGAAAGCATTTTTAAAAATAAGAAATACAAGTTGCAGACTCAAGGCCAGTCATGGAGCTGAAGGTATGTAAACACTGGCGAGCCCGGGGGAAAATGAATTAGGAGGAGAGGACCGCTCTTGAAAGTGTTGCTGCTGCGTATCAGCTTGCCTGCCCCAGGGGAGAGTTCAAGAATCCATGAGGCACAACCGCGCAGAGTCTCAGAGCACCATGCTATCCAAGGTTACCCAAATAAGATTCCCTCTGCTCCACTCAGCAAAGCCCAACTTGCAAATCAGACCTAAGAGAAACATGATCAAGTGCTATATTTCCACAGCTGGCAGAATACAGCCAGACACAATATACTTTCCTCTGGCGGAGAGAAAGAAGCCAAGAGGGACGTGCACAAGGCAGGAAGCTCACCTCAAAAGGCCTAAGCAATGAGGAAGTAGTGGGATGCATTTCTAACAGCATTTGCTCCTGCAAGGGAAAGTATTTTCTCCTGAGAACTCATTAACCATGCATCCCTGTTGTACAGGGTTCACTTCAGCCCAAGCACCCTAGATTAAAAACTGATAAGCGTACAAACCAAACCAAAACCAGGATGAAGGCTTTTAGAGAGCTCTCATGCCTAGCGGCTCTTACCAACTGGAGGAAACTTTCCTTTAGGAAAGGAAAACACATCTCCCTTTTCTCCTTCTGTTTTTCCACCAAGTGACCCCTTCCTTCTGGGATTTATTTAAACAGCTAACATAAATGCCAGCTCAGCCAGGCCCCAATCCAAAGCCTGTTAAAGTCAGCGGAAAGTCTCCTGCTGGCTGCAGAGCAGCTTTAGACCACAGAGCAGAACCAGCGGTATTGTCACAGAGATGCTGCTGCTGCAGATCCTTCAACATCCAAAGCAAGTCAGGGCCCTGCGGTGCCAGTCTCCACACAGATGGGCTCTCCTCGCCCTGAGTAACTAACAGCTTGTATGGAAGCAAGGAAGCAAAATACAGCTTAAGCCTTACCATGCTCTGTGACCAGCTTGCTTTCTGCCTATATTCCCAGCTGTTAGTCTTGCTGTAACTGGGATTCAACCTGCCCTTGCTACACCAGAGAAAAGCCAAACCTGAAGTAACTGGAATAGACAATGCTCTGAAGTCAAATACGGCACAACGTACCCATGCAGTGGGACCAACAAGGATGCCAGATGTCCTCAGTCTCGCCTTCTCAAGAGGTCTGTCTAGGGCTTATGCTTAGTCAAGACTTGTAGACAGCGTGGACAGGAAGTGAATACAGCCAGGGTTACAACCTGAAGACTCCAAACCAGACCAGAGTGTGGAAGAAGGCCACATAAAAGATTAAGGAGAAAGCCTTTCCAGCAAGACAGGGTCAAAAACCCCCATTCCCTTGCTGGAAAGGCATTGCAAGTGATTCATGGGGCTCCCTAGACTGTCTAGGCACTGCAGTGTAGCTATTTTCTTCATAAACTGGACAGTGAAAAACAAGCTGAGATCCTTTAGCCATTGATAATTGGCATGAAAACTCAGACTGCACTTGAGTCTCTGGTTTCCTTTGCTCAGTAAGAGCCTCTTTCCTCTGAACTATGAAAAAAAAATTAGGAATGAATGTCTGGCTGCCACAGCCAGCTCTTATTTGCTGGATTTAGCATTAAATGCTGAGTCTTGAGACTGCAGTTGGGATCCAGGAATGTTTAAAAAAAAAAAAAAAATCAGCAAACTCCTCCCCCTCTGCCACTCAGCAGCCTTCTAGCAAGAGAAATTACAATAACAAATTGATAAAAGCAATTGAATACACAACCCCAGCTTCACGCTCACAGGTTATCTGTTAGTCGCTCTGAGGCAGAGATGAGAAAGAAGAAAAAACGGAGCATACAGAGCAAAGTCTCTAGCATTGCCAACCTCAAAGGGGTGACTCCAGATCCCATTCTTACTACACTGAAAACCCCACATTTAGAATCAAGAGTTACAGTTTCTAGCTTGACTTTCAACAAAAACATTTTAAACCATCCACACTTTTCACTTGACTCCTGAGTTGAGAAATTGAAGAACACACAAAAAAAATAAAATAAAATGCAGCTCTCCATGAATCTATCAATATACATTGGTGAGAGCAGGACTCCCAGGAGCCAGCAGGCCTTTCTCCCCAGCATCATGTTTATACAGCACAGCAGCACACACAGTCTGCTCCACCTGCAGCCATCTACCTTTCTGGCTTAATTCCCTGTGTCACTTCAGCTTTGGAGGTGGGCCAGTTCTGATGTAGTCAGCTATAGTCATCTAAGAAGATAACCTACTTACCTGCAATGCAAACACCTGAGCCTGCAAACCTGACCTTCGTTTTTCTGTAAGCCTTGACGCAAAGTAAAGCTCAGCACTAAGTGATGAGACAGGGCACCTGCACTTTGAACACAGCCACGCTCAGACCTGCCACACTTGCTCAGCTCTTGCCTTCTGAGCCCATGTGGCCTCCCAAGCCAGCCCAGGGCAAAAGCAATCTGCATTCCAGGCATGCTCTGAAAGGTTGCTGACAGCTGCGGTACTAGCTACAGAATCCAGTTCCATCCATTTCCCATGAGATAGCACCAGTTTCCCTGATCCAGGGAGTAAATCCACACTGTTTGACCTGCCAGGAGCCCTGCTTGGGCAGTCCCTCTCAGAGATCTATTTTGTCATCTCTTGTGATTCTGGAGAGGATCTGTGCTCTCCACCACAAATACACTTCAGATCTGAAGCCCAGGATGTCAGCACAGGGCTTCTCCAGGGCATCAGTGGTTCCCATGCAGCTCATATGCATAAAGAAGCATAGCTGTTTGTGAAGATAAAAAGGTTTTGAGTGGTGACGCCTGTTTGAAAGTACAGCAGAAACCTGGATTTCTATCCTGTAGCAACTACTCCCAAAGTAACAAGAATCATTGCCTCCTCTTGACACTTCTGGTGTCAATGTCACTGGATCCAGTGCTTTCACACTACTGTGCTGTTAGCAAGTACTGGTCTTTGGGTGGTTGTTTGGTTTTGGTTTTGGTTTTGTTTTGTTTGGGGGAGGGGGGGCAGTTGTGTTTTGGGTTTTGTTGGTTGGTTGGTTGGTTTTGGTTGGTTGTTTTGTTGTTTCCAGTCTGTAACATCATCTACTGTCCCTTCCATGGACAACACAACAAGGTATTGCAGAAAACCTACAACCATGTCAGGACTTGCCTTACATCAATCTCTACGTAAAACATTTCTCTTCCCTTGATTCCCACAGACTGCATTCCCAATTGCAGGCAGGGACTGTTTTCAGGGGAGGCTGAGGTTCCCTTGCAGGAACACAGCACAGAGCGTATCTTTGCTTCTGACAATCATCTTTGGGACCAGTCAAACAGAAGCAGAAGAACATTCATGTCTAAGCAGTGAGAAAGCTCAAAGCACCTGCTTGTCTGGAACAGCTAGCCTTGAGAGCTGAGGCTCCTGTCTCTCTCAGTGTGAGAAAGCAGAAGCAGCAACTGGAAGCAGCAGGCTCCATTGCAGTTCTAGCTATTGCCGGGGAAAACGAAGCCAGAAGGAGAGGAACTCCCTTGTGATGCATTGGTTCTGGCTCCTAGTATCAGCAGCATGAGCTGGAACAAGGGAGACTCCCATGTAATGAATCTTCTCCAGTTGCCAACGGTGAGCAAAGAAGCTTGGAATGCATGACCTCCCTGTGCAATGAGGTAACATCACCTCCTAACAAGGAAGGGCAGGAGATGCCTTCTAGAATGAGCAAGAACCTGCCAGGAGGATGTAATAAAACAGGGCATTTCCCTGCCAGAACAACAGAGCATAGAGGAGCTCTCATTAAATCATTAAGCAGGGCACATTGCCAAACTGCCCACAGCCCTTCCAGAAACCAGGCCCCACCTTGCAGGTTATCCCAGAAACATGCCTTCTCCGAGAGAGGTGGCTCCATCCTGTTCCTTTCTGCCCAGCCCTGTCTGCATATCTGTCCGGGCACAGTACCTGCAGTGAAAATCTGCGCAGCTACTGCCAGGAAAGCATCCGTCACCACCGTCTCTGAGTGCAGCGAGATGTTCAATTGGCGGGCAATATTCCGGTAGACGTTGGGGCGAATGTATTCCAGCTCATCCCCTGGAAACAAACAGTCAGGAGTCAATGCACAGAACCATGCAATGCTCAGTCCTCCTCTCACCATGTAGGAATTACAGCTGGGGCCACCCCACGTACCCCTTCAGCCAAAGAGACTTAACCCCAGCTCCACCTTGATTTAAACAGGCAGCACAGTGCTTAGGATCATTTAGATGCAACCCCCTGACACCTGCGCCTGGCTTTCCTAATATCCCCTGTGCAGGTGCCTTCTAAAGGGAGTGGGGACAGGCAGTGGCCCTGTACCAGTGGTGTCGCTGCAGCAATCCCTGATACAAATGATGTTCCCAGGCTAGATGCCTGCCGTTCCTTTTCTCCAACACAGGTGACAGGCCTCAGATAGGTAAAGCCATCTCATTTTTCTTCAGAAGTGAAAAGGAGGCCTGTACATCTACATAAGCTTTTGAGAGATACGCCCTTTCTCAACATCCCATCAGACTTGTACAAAAAAGCCTCAAGATGAGAGCGACTCAAGAATGTTGAAGGCTGATGAAAGCCAAGGATCCACCCAGAGCTGCACAACATTAGTTGAGCAAAGAGACTCTCAGCTCAGCTATTTTATGCTCGCACAGGCACAGAGTGACAATCTGGAGCTCTTTCTTTCCTCCAAATGGTTAAAGAGACGTTCATTTGCCCGGCTGACTCCTCAGCAACAAGGTTCCCGACACGTGCAGACATGTGCTTTCTCCTCCACATTGTTTCCTCCCCAGCTGGGAAACGGCTGGAGGTGTTAGGCTAGCTTGAAGACCAAGACTGAAATAGCAAGGACAAGCAGAGAACCTCCTCCCACAGGTTTGTGCTATGGAGCTTGGGCAACAGCAGTAAAGCTTTTCCTCTGTAGCAAAACAAAGCATTTTTGAGCAGTAGAATGAATAAAGCTCAGTTTCCAATGGATTTATCTCTCTAGGGGGGTTCACAGGTACTTAATGAGGGTTGCACAGCTGCTGTGGGAGCATTACAAAATGCAAACATGACATGGGACCAAGGCCCCTTGTGCATGGAGAGTCCTGTTTGGTTTAGATTTAGAAGGACACTCTGCATCCTTCTCCTGCATAAGGGTGCTCTGGAGCACCGAGGGGAGAAAGGAGAGCTGTCACAACAGCTTTACATCCCACTGCAAGACCCAGAAGGCTTGCCCCAGTCAGAGGGCAACTGATCCTCCTGAAAATTTCATTTAGATGGGGACTGAAAAGGAAGATGACACCCCAGTCAGGAGCTTGTTACGGAGCCATGAGCTACGGGACCTTGTAACTGGTCACTGGCACTCAGCATAGCACGGGCAAAGCCCAGCTCTACAGAATTCCACGGATAAGCTCTCCGGGCCCTTTGTGTATGTGGGATTGTCCCACACAGTCTGATAGCAAGAGGAAACCCTGCCAACATATGTCAGGCCTGATAAGGGGAAGACATTACTTGCGCTACTCAACAGCTGTTTTCTCCTCGTAGGGAGCATGCAGGCTTCCCTGTAAATGCAAGGCAACAGGGATAGCCCTGCCTGTGGTCAGCCAAGAGGGAGGCTGGGATCAGCACTTTCAACAACCAGCGCCTGGAGGCCTCGGATGGGATCAAGTTTTGGTTCTAGGCACGTACGCTGCTGAAGTGGGCCCTGCCCTGCAGCACCGCACAGGGCAGAGAAAAGTGGGCAGCGAAGAAAATCACAGGAAAGCAGTCCCAGGCTCACGGAGACTCCTGGCCCCAACAGCCCCAGGACCTCTCTAGCAGCGTAGGAGTCTTTGGTGTCCACATTCAGATGCCCGACTGTGCACTTTGCAACATTTAGAGCAATTTCTGTCCTTCTCCTCCTTCCTCTAGTAATCGTGGAGCAACAAGTAGGGCAGCAGTGACAGTTCCCACACGCAGAAGCTCAGTGCAGTGGTGAAAGGGCACTTGTCTGGGTCTTGGCCACAGGAGAGAAAAAATAAACCAGACCTCTGACACATATGGCAGGTTGGTCTGGGGTGTCCCATTTGGCCATACCATTAAGTTTTGCCACCTCTGACTCGTTAATCGCACTAATGAGCTGCTACACCTCACTGGGCTGATGGGCTCTCCCTCCCCAAGACTGCAACTGTATCGCCTGCGCCCAGCACCTCTGCTGGCCCATCAGCCAGTTCATCAGACTCTCTCCGTGCAAGAGGGCTAGGAAATAGTCCAGCTTCTCATCTCTGCAGGCTTCTCAGCACTTTCACAGAGAAAAAAACTGGTCTGGCTTGTTGCACTGCTTAGTAAGCAGCTAAGAACTACCGTTCCTGGTGGGTGGTTGGACACCATTTGGCCTTGTACTGGTTCTAGCAGCAAAGGGGAAAAGAAAGGGACAGGCCATGTGGCAGGTGGAGTTTCTGAACAAACAGGACAGAAACAGCTCTCCATCCTAATAAGGAGGACTGCCTACCCTTTGTGTTGCATGGGTACCACATGGCACTCTCCAAACAGATTTGCTCAGAGAAGGCACCAAGTTCCTGGGACTATCAGCCAAATATTTCCATCTGGACATGAATAAGTAACAGGAGAGTCATCCAGGAGACGCCTTCAGATCCAGTCTGCCACTTGCTTGCCCTTTAACATGCTCCTGGCCACCCACAGAAGATCTGGTTGAAAGCAAACAAATCTCAACCCCCAACCCAGGCAGAGAAGAAACGGAGGACAAAAAGGCAGTGAGATTGACAAGAACAAAAAAATCCCAGAGACCAAACAACCACTGGAAACAAAGATATCAGTAAAGTCACCATAGGATAGAAAAAGTGAAAAAGAATGAAAAAAACCCATCAGTTAAATGAAACACAGCTATGCCTTAAAAAGAAATTTGGGATAATATCAAACAGAAGTTGAATGAAAGGGGAAATAGTGGGGAGACCAGCCTGGGTCCTGAGTTTGTTAGGCCCATCTAAAGGTTACTTCACCAGACTTATCTGAACTTTGGTGTAATTAAATCAGATGCAAATGCTAGTAGCAGCTTCCAAGCCAGATGTGAACTAATATACCAGCCTGCAGGCAAAGAGGGACGTTGGAAGCAACTTCCAAGAACGAGGGCGTCAGGATCCCAAAAGACAAATGGCTAGATTTGAGCACGCAGGAGGCTAAAACCTAAAGCAAAAGGCCAGGCAACTGTCAGCATTTAGAGGGTGCTCCTGGTACAAACACAGCTCCAGAGCAAGTCTTCATGTAGCAGCCTACAAGCATGGCCTTCAAACCGCTCTCCCTGCAGCCCCAGCAGTCATCCGTCCGTCAGAGTGGCTGGCGAGCTTGGGCACTGAATGCCAGGCAACATTAGCCAACTCCTTCTTGCTCCAAGAAAAAGCAAGAAAACTCATGCCTTGCTGAATGATTAAGGTAGGCAAAGGAAAATTAAACACACTGTCACAACACTGTCACTGAAAAGTGGCTTTTTATAAAATCTCCAACGCACATGGTCTACGCAACTACCTCCAAATTAAATGTCCTTGCAGCTGGGCGAGCAAGTGGTGAAGCCTAAGTCTAGAGGTAGCAGTACTCTACTAGATGCCAGCTTGGGTTGTGTCATGGCAGCCAAGTCACCTGCGTCTGGAGAAAACACTGCAAGACCTGTTAAGATGCCAAGCCGAGAAAGACTACTGAAACTACAGTGAAAACTTAAACAGCTGGAGTCTTATGCAGATAAAATTAGTTTGCTGTTGGGCTTTCTTGGACTGCATCATGTTTTTAAGTTGTTGCAAGTCCTCAGAAAAAAGTAGCTCTGCAGAAACACTGTGCTGAGCAGTGCTCTGAGGGACTGAGGAAATGCAAGTAAACGGTCTGTTTAGGGAAGATGACCAAAACCAAATCTAAATGCCCAAAGCAGAGAAGAAAAACCTCTATATCATCACATGAAAAGCCTCTTGGCACTCATCAGTTCCAGAAACCTTAGCCTGGTCTGAATTGCTCCATATAGTTTCAGTTCCCACCCATACCTGCAGGGACTTACCTAGTCGCAGCAGTATGGTGGACACCTCGGCCAGCTTACCGCCAGGCACGGGTGCATTGTACTCAGGTTTGCTCCAGCTGACGCCAGCTCGAATTAGCCTCGAGTTTATGTAGTCCCTGCAGAGAGCCTTGGCTTGGGACACAAGCTCCTTGTCAGTGGGAGACCTGTCAAAAACCTCCATCACCTCTGCAGCAAAGACTGAGGAACGGCGTAGCACTTCACTGAACCCACACCTCAGCGTACGCTTGCTGAAAGGCTGAGCCGATGCCTTAGATGAGAATCTGCAGGAGCTGTGTAGTAATCCTCTGCTCTCTTGGTTTGTCACAGCTCCCAGCAGCTGTTCTCAAAAGGCCAGTTTTTCATTTTACCTGGTAAATAAAAGCATCTGTAAGTCCTCTAGCATTGCAAAGATGTAAATCCAAAGCCCAAGTATTATACCTTACAGTTATGCTAAAGTCAATAGTGTCATATTTGCAAAACATCTGTCTCGGTGCATCTTACAGATGAGGGGCAAAGTCTTCCATCTTTCAGCCGCTCTGACTTTCACTGGCAGCATGACCCACAGAAGGGCTGCCGTTTTGAACTATCAAGGTGTTTCCTCTTTTCCAGTTTGGATTCGGCAGTCCTACAATTACCCTTCAGAGAGACTAGATGATCAGAGCGTGGAAACAATTCATAGAATGTGTAGACAATCTCAGCTTGTTTCAATTAAACTGGAAAAAAAAAAAACTGAATCCCAAATACCAACTACAGTAACCTCAACCAGATGTCAACAGACATTCCAGCTCAGTAGGTCATGGATCTTTCTGAAGAAATGGCACTATCACAAGAACAGGGGTGTGGGAGCATTTGAAATGTCTTGATGGAGAGAGTTTACCACATTCTCAGTTTAGGTTTTGGTCCTGCCACTTCTTTTTCTCCTCCCCCCACCCCCCCAAGCAGCATGCGTACTACTTCTCGAAAACCTTTAGCAATAGCAGAGAGCAAAACAGAAAAAGCAGATTTTTAAAAGGTTTTCAGGTGTGAATGCCTAAAGAGAAAATTCAAAATTTCTTCAGAGGCACCTGAATTCATATGTTGATCTGACTTTCTAACCCAGTGCTGCTTTTGAAGTCAGTCAGACCTGTCTTTATTCAGATGTTACTAGATGTATTTTTCAGCCCCCAGTTTCAGACATCTACTTACAATAACGATTTTCAAACCAAATAAAGCCAGTTATTTTTGTTTGTCCCAATGAAAAACATATTTACCTCTCATGTTGCACTTTTTCCCCCTCAGTGATTTCTTTTTGGGTTTGGTTTCATGTTTCTTTGGCAGATCTGCATCAGTGAACACCTGGGTTAGGATTCCTAGGATACTGTCACACTCCTCTGGAGAACACCAGCCTTCTCTGCCGTGCTCTCCGCAGGGCTCCCACCACTGTCTCCTTCCTCATCTCCGTCAGCTTCGCATCCCGGCTGCTCTCCACCGGGATCCTCAGGGCTTGCTCTGCTGCTTTTAAGGGACCCAGGAGGCAGAGGAAAGCTTCTAGCTCTAGCCTTGTAAGGAAGATGAAATAACCAGGAGGTGGGGTTGCTATAGCCAGAGAGCAATGCTTTCTCCTCCCCTTTCTTCTCTCTTAAGGAAGTTCTTTTTTGTTCTACCGGGAGCACGCAGGGGCTTCACTTCAAGGACTCATCTTCAGGGTGTGGGTCTGAGTATCATTTCTGGACCAGGTTACCCCATGTAAGAGGCAGTGATGAATGCACAGCTGAAACAGGAATAGCTCCTGGTGGATTGCGAAGGCGGCTTTTGCAGAGTTGATGCTGGCCAGTGGTTTTCATGCGGTAGCCAAGTCAGGAAACTGCCAGTTGTCATACTTCAGTGGTGGGCTAGTCATACCAGTTCAATATGAAACGACAGAGGTGATTAAAAGAGAGACCCAGTTTAGGGCTAAAGCAAGTGGTACTTGCATTCCCCCAAATGACGAGCAGTCTGGGTTTAAAAAAAAAAAAAAAAAAAAGTGGGTTTGCTGATAGGAAATAGTTTGTCCAGAATGAAGTGTTTTGCAGGAACATGTCCATTTCATCTCAGTGTGTTAACAAAACTAACATATAAAGTTTAAGGAAAACATTTCAATTAATTACAACATACTTGGAAATTCATTTCAATGTCAACTTCTTGTTGCAATATTATCATATTGATGCCACAATGCTCAACGTTTTTTCCGTGTGTGTGTATGTGTGTGATACCATTTCAACTCAATAGACCACATACAAGCGTCAGCTTTTTGTGTTATGATTTGAAACAAAAGAAGTTCTAGAAATAGAAGTTTCCTACAGACAAGAAATTCTACCAGCTCAAACACATATTCTCCCCAACAAATAATTAGTAGATTAACATCTGGGTATGTGGCACGTTCAAAATACAGCCTTTCCAAAAGGAGAAGCAAAAAGTAACTGTTGCCATCTCTTGCCTGTCACCTTTGAGAAAAGACAGAGGCAAGTACATCTCTCTGAGGTGTTTGATCACAAAAAAAAACCCCAAGCACAACCTGCACCGCTGCCCGTCTCAAAATTGAGGGCTAAAAAGGAACAAATTAACTGCATCAAAAAGCCTTATTATATGATGTATCAAACGGTCTGGCCGGCATCCAGCACACAGCTCACGCACAGGCTTAACACAGAGCATATGTTTTAGTCTGTCATTAGCTGGATTGCTGGAGACGGCTTTGCTGCGTTGGGAAGGGGGCTGCGGTAAAGCCCCTTCTCCCTCCGGCGACGGATCCTCTCTCTGACTCAGCTGCTTCTGGGAAAGGAGCAGGGTTAAGGAGAGGTACGTGTATGCAGCGGTAGTCAGCCAGGACCCCAGCTTAGCTTGATACGATCACGTTAAGGTGACAATAGTGACTGTGCATCTCCAGCATCACAAGTATTTCCTCAAAGATTCTCTCAGAAATTTGTTTTTAACCATTAGCCTTCCTCAAATTTAAATATAGTCATTATAGACAGAGGCTAGTCCCATAGAAGCTGAAATCAAGACTCCAGAGATCCTGTGCTACGGCCCATCCCTAACCCACCCTTTCTCTGCAGAGCTTGCCTGATGGTCTCTTGGAAAATCATATTTTTGCTTTTGCAACTCTGACGGCTTAAAAATCAGTAAAAATTATGTCTTAGCTTCCTACAGCAGCTGACAGCTTGAAACAGTAGTCCTATTTAAACTGTCCCTATTCAGCAGGGCTCTGAAACAAAGATGAATGCTTAAATATCAGTATTGCTTAACTAATTATAATGTTTCCCAGAATTCTGGCAAATATGCAAGTGCCACAGTGCCTCGCAGCTCTCCGCGGGTGCCAAACCTATCCCACATGTTCCCTGCCCGACTATCACGGCGTGCAGCACCCCCTCAACTTCCACCCTGCAGCAAATACACAAAAACTAGAAACACAAAGGCTGTGTATAATAAACCAAACTTTGCATTAAAAAAAAAAACCCAAACCAACAGTGGGTGGTATTCTACCTATATTATTTACACACTAAGAATACAGCTTCACACCGAGAGATACCTCTGTAAGTAAAAATAGATGAAACCACAGCATACAGTGCTCAGCTGACCGCAAAAGAACAGGGCGTCACAATCCAAGGAGCTGTCAGTGTAATCTGGGCCCCCTTTTTCCCTAGTAATGTTTAGGCTACAACACTTTGAGGCTAGATCTATACTGGAAAAAGCCTCGTGGCAAAGGAGCATCAGGAAACAGTGCAGAAACAGCTTCTATCACCCCAAACCAACTGTTTCCAGAGTAGCTGTTAGTAGCATGACAGTGTTCTGGCTGGAACAACAGAATCCATGCCACAGCTCCTGCCTATCTCAGATGGGGTGACCAAAACAGCTTGGAGTATTCATTTAGTAAAACCAGGGAACCACAGAGACATGACTACATTTTATAAGCATGTCAAGTGGAAGTAAACCCTGGAAAAACCACAGCAGCGAGAACACAGCAATAGTCTAAATGTGGACAGCTTATGCTCAATATTAAATCGTTTAACCATTAGAGAAGTCAGTCTCTGAAAGGGCCTTTTAACAGTGGCAGCAGAAGCAAAATAGCTAGCTAATTGTGAGCACGCTAAGTTTATGAAAAGGTCTGCCCGATAAGGGTCTGAGATGAAAGGGTGGGTCTTTTCTCCCAAGTAACGAGCAATAGGACAAGGGGAAATGGCCTCAAGTTGCGCCAGGGGAGGTTTAGATTGGATATTAGGAAAAGTTTCTTCACCGAAAGGGTTGTCAAGCACTGGAAGAGGCTGCCCAGGGAAGTGGTGGAGTCCCCATCCCTGGAGGTATTTAAAAGGTATGTAGAGATGGTGCTTAGGGGTACGGTTTAGTGGTGGACCTGGCCATGCTAGGTTTGCAGTTGGACTCGATGATCTTAAAGGTCCTTTCCAACCTAAACAATTCTATGATTCTACGTGGTTTCCTGCAATAGCATAAGAATAACCCTGAGTGTCCTAGGAGATCATTTCCAGCCTTGTGTTCACACAGCCTGGTTTCTATCAGAGGTATTGTTTTGTTTCACCTCACAGTGCCAATCCCAGCCACTTCACACAGCCTACAACAGTTCCAGCAGAAACTACACACTTTAACACATAGATCCGAGCTTCTAAAACACCTGCAGAGTAAGGACTTCGAGGGATGCCAGAGACACAGCTCATAGCCACAGAGCCTGGGAAACAACGCCACCGGCCCCCGCCTGCTACATGAGGTTTCCCTTCAGAGAGCAGATGCTCTGGCAAAACACTGGCACTGTAACCAAACCAAAGCCTTCTACCAAACCATCCCTGAACCTTCTGCACTATCTCACCCAGATTTAACACACCATCTTCTCCTCACTGCCTCTTCCTGTCTGATTTTTGCAGCAATACTTCAATTCTGTGGTTGTGAAATTATCTCTTACCACTGCAAAAACACCTACGAGGTCAGGCTTTAGGTTGCAAAGCCATACAGGAGAAACAGGGAGGCTAGAAGAAACACTTCTTTTTATACAGAAGTATTTTGCCAGCTGCAACAGGAACACAATATGTGGAAGTAGCAGCTTAATGGGACCCAAGCAAAACACTGACATTTTTTGAACCTATCTCTCGTTTCTGAGGGCTTGATTCAAAGCCTCCTGAAAGCCAAGCAGTTATTTGTATTACTTGCATGACAGGATCACCCTGGAGCACCTTTCCTGGAGCAGGATTTT